AAAATGAAATGTAGAGTGCAGATTTGTGACACGGGTACTATACCTGTGTCACCTCAACAGAGACATTTCGAGGCTTTATATGTGACACGGGCAGCGACACGGCCTACGACACGGGCAGAGTGGCCGTGTCGCGCGCGCATGCTGTATTTTATATCTTCCCTATTTTGAAAAGGAGAAAGGTTTTGGACATTATAAAAGGGATATTTACCCTATTTTGAAATGGAAGAACACGAGACGCCAGGAGAGGAGCCCTAGAACACAAGAGAAGCAACTGGGAAGCAAAAAGAAGATCCAACTACGAAGGAATCAAGAAGATTGAGAGATCAACGAGATTCCTAGTTTTTCTTTCTTCTTTCATTTGAACTTTTATTTTTATCATGTCGATTTCTAATATGTCTATGTATTTGAATTCGAACATGAGTGGCTAGATTATTTGATTCTAGGAATTGGTAGTAGATTAATATGTTGGGATTTTGGATGACTTATTTATAATTGATTGTTTATCTTTTGAACCCTATTTTCAAATATTTTGCTCATATTTCATGTTTAGCACTTAGTCAATGCTTTTACATATTTGACAATATTGTTCATAATTCAAGATATGAGTTCAATATTAGGTCTTTAATATTTGACACAATTTACTTGCTTGAATCGACAGATTAGTAGGTCGTTGTGAGGGTATTAGATCTTTTAATCTATTTGAAGTTGAATTGCATGTGTTGAGTGGAGACACTAATATATATGATTTAATATACGATTTAATCGATCTCGAGAGGGACGATAATCTAAATTTGTGATCATCTTATAGGGTAGATAAAGGAACATTTAGTTGTGATATTTCTAAAGGAACCCAACCATTAATTTAAACCACAGTTTCAAAATCTATCATTCTCATATATTTTCTTACGTGTTTTTCTAGTTAGTTCTTAGAATCGATCATCTAAATAAAACTGACATTATCATAATCTAGTACTTGATATTTTGATTATTTTTTCACTTGGGATACGACCTTGCTTGACACATACTACGAGCGAAGCAGTACACTTGCGGCCGAGCTTTAAAAATATAGGCGAACATGGACGCAAGCGCCAGTGTGGTGGTCAACATTTCAGGATCGCTACGACATGAGACATATCAATGTCCGATTTGACAATTTCGATATTAGCCTCCAGTCCATCCGGTCGCGCTAGGATCAAACTGATGCTCAACTGGACCGGTGGGACGCACACAGGAGCTCTGGCACCGGCTACCCCTACCCTGCTCCTCCTCCTCCTGATGCTCCTGGTACACAGTGACTTGTCCTTACTATCGTGCTGAAGATGACTCTGTTGCTGCCTCTTAGGATGCTGCTTTTATTTATGTGTGCTTTAGGTGGAGTGATGTAGTGAGGACTTCTATGTAAGAACCTCGTATTTTGTTTTGATGCAGATTTGGTGAATTTTTGTTTTGGGTGATTTCTTTTGATTTGTTGTGGTGATGTCTTAAAACAATGGTATTTCTAGTTGGTTTTCTTAAACTATAACTTGTAGGACAAATTGTTGTGTGTGTTTTTGTTTATGTTGTTAATGTAATCATTGTTTTATAGTTAATTTTTTTTATATATATTTTTGTAATGCTCTAGGTGTAGTCGTGCGCAAACTCCGTAGCTTCGTAAAGGCACTAAAAATGCCCAGATGTGTGTGTGTGTGTGTGTCACGCCAGGATACCGTGTTATTGTACCGTCCTGTATTTCAAGTTATTTTAAAAAAAAAAAAGATAAAGGTATGCGACTCGTGGAGAAAGACAGACTCCCAGGCATTCCAAGTGTTCTAGGGTCGCGACTCGCGGAAACAGTCATGATTTGCGGCATTGTACAGAGACTCCTAGTGTAGCGCCCCGTTTATTTATGGATAATTTTAGGATTATTTATTATTATTTATTAATATTATTATTACCTATTGTTTGTTATTAATATTATATTATTGTCATTATTATTATTATTTTTATTATTGTTATTATTATTTTATTTAAATGCCTAATTGTGAAATAAATGTTTAATGTGTATTATTATTATAAATAATGTGTGAAATATATTTTATTATAAGAGCCGAATTTTTGTTATAAAATATCGTGCGAACCGAGCAATTTTATATTGGCTAAATCAACCGATTTATCGAGCCCGAGAGATTGAGCCCGAGAGAACTGTATGCATTGGATCGAACCTACGACTTAAATCTTTCAAACCCTTGGCCCATTTAGTATGCGACCCGAACCCGTCTGGCTTGAACCTGCGCGACCCGGCCCATCTCTCTTTTACGCGTGTGATGAGATTTCTTTTAACCTAGCGCAGCTTTTATTTTTCCCTCATCAGATTTTTCTTCCCTTCACGATCGCACCTTCATCATCAACCCTCTCTCTCGTCAAAATTCTCTCGTCACCATCAATCTCCTTTCCCCTCTCCCTCAGCACCTCCGGCGACCTGCAAGCCCCCTCCGCCGCGCGCAGGCCCTCCCTCCGGCGAGTCCTACACGACCAGCGCCTGCAAGCCCTCAGCCTGCAAGCTGACGAGACTTCTCTTCCGGCGAGCCCTACTCCAACGCCGCTCCTTCTCTGAAAACCAGCAAATTCCGGCGGCCTCTCCTCACCGCAGCACCTCTTCCGACGTGAGCAGCAACGCCTCCCGAGCCGCTGCAAGCCGTTGACCCTCTTTCTCCTCAGCGGCGAGTAGCTCTCTTTTCCCGGCGAGACGAAGTTCACCGTCGAGCCCGTTCGAACCCTTTTCGCTCGTTTCTCGAGAATGGTATCAAGTCTCGACTTCCCGTTTATTTTACGTGATTATCGTTTATGTTATTTACGTATATGTTTGATTTGCGATTTGTTATGCAAGATGTGTATATTGTGCGAATGTGATCAATGTGATATTTCGTGAAGTCGTGATTTTATGTGTAATCGTGTTGTTCGGGATCTCTTCGATTATGAGAAATCGAACCAGGCCTCGAAACTCGTGTAAGTCAGTGGATATTGGAACAAAGTCGAGTCCTTGGCCTTATGGGAAGGCCTCGGACGAGAAATTCCGTGTTATGAATTAATTGTTAGATTGTCGAGCTTATGTGTCGCTGTTTTGGTGTTTGAATTATTAAAAATCGCACAATGTTCGAAATGACTTGAAATTTTGAGGGATATGTTATCTGTTCATTTCCAGCCTCGTGTAAAAATTTCATAATTTTTAGAGGCCTGTAGCTATTTTTAATAATTAAAGTGAATTCTGATCAGAATAGTGTTTAATGCTTAATAAATTGGTTCGTGATTCAAATGAGCTGAAATTTTGATATGTTGTGCCTCTGATGTGTTTATATGCTGTGTTAAATTTTTAGAATTTTTGGAGTTGATTTGATGTGGTAAATATTTTATTTATCGAATCTGCAGAAACATTGTTTGAATTTTTAAAAATCGGTTACTGCATGGAAAATTCTGAAATTTTACTGAGAGTCATATTTTAGGTGTTTGATCATGTTTGTAAAATATGGGAATTTTTAGAGTCCGTTTGGTTTCATTTTGGGTTTAAATTCGATAAACTGCTGTTGCTCGTTTGAATTTTTAAAAATAGCAGCAGATATCATTTAAGGCTGAAATTTTTATAAGTGGACTTTGGCATACTGTATGTTGCTATGTAAAATTTTCAGGTTCAGTTTCATTCATTAGATCTGAGTATGAATTAATGTGCCCTTTTTGCTGAATTACTGTTCGAATTTTATAAAATAGGGTATTTTGAGTTTAAAGCTGAAACTTTGTGGTTTTACATGTTGCTGGAAGATGAAATTTTGGGTAAATTTTCAGAGCTTAATTCGTAGGGTAGCTTGGCCATCTATTTTCATGCGATTAAATGATTTCTATTTCCGAACATGATTTTTTATGAAATTTTGGGAATCGACTTGCTTTTAGTTTTTATGTGAGTTTGACTTGGTCAATCCTCAGATGGATTTATATGATCTGGTGTATGTGTTTTGATCAAGTTAAGAGCTGAGTTTTAGTGTTCCAATTCCACAGGACTTCACGAACTACTTAGTCGAAACAAGTTCGACTAGGTCTGCTTTTGTGATTTTCGATTAAAGTCAAGATAGATATTCATTGTAGGATCTTGACATAATGTAGGTAATTGAGGAGTCCAGCCTCGACCTACTACCAATTGCTTTGAGTTATTATCAATCCGGAATCCAGGTGGGTTATTCAAAAATTATCTATGCATATGTGTGATTTATTTATGATAAAAGTTTGGTGTGATCTATGTATGAAAATGAACATGTAGCCTATCGATGTGAGCTTGATGGCCATCGATACGGTTGTCCCCGTATGATAAGATACGGTTACCCAGTGAGGTAAATCTCATTAAGACCTATGAGAAGGCCGTGTCATTGATGTGGCACGCACTCCCATGTTTCACTGATATGGCATGGCTTAGCTTTGATGAGCATAGATGTACATGAGTGAGTCTTTGATGAGACTATAGTCATTGATGTGGCTAGAGATGTGACATGATTTTATTGTTTATGTTCATGCTGCGACCATACCATTATTATGTTATTCATATGCATAGTGTGAGTACGATAGTTAACTGTACTCACTCCCACCTGCTCGTAACTGATGCAGGTTAAGCAGTCGGCGGGTGACGAGACAAGACGGGTGGTGGTCATGCTTTTATTTATCGCTTATTTATTTGCTTCCGCTCATTTATGTTGAGATATTATGACTGTGTCGTTTTGAACTTGGAATTGTGAATTATCTTTATGATTTGGAACTTAATGAATGCCAGTTTGGTTTATGATTTATTATTCGTGCATGCTGTCTTTATTTGATACGTTTGCATTTTTGGTTAAAGGCTTTTGGTAAATTTGAGTAGCGCCCACTGAGTATTTAATTAAATTAAAGTTTGCGAAAAATTTATTGTGATTTTTATTAAATAAATTCGATAAATCCTTTAAAATAAAGTGGGGCGTTACAGTTTGGTATCAGAGCCAGTCTGCGTTTCTGTAGACTGGTTTATATGTGATTAAGTGTTTAGAAATTGTATCCGACCACTCGTCTTCGTCACGCCGCGCTGCTTAAAGGTATGTTTATATAAGTATCGATGAAAATACTTATAATGTGAAGATGTGAAATTTTATATTTTTACATAGGCAGTAATGAAACTGCTTATGTTATGACTTATTGACTTTTGGGGCTTAGGATCTATCCACCTTCGTTTAATGTGAACTCTAGTGTTTGATGTTGAACTCTAGTGATATAGAGTTAAGTTCGGACTCTAGATGTTCCTCGTTATGAGGTTCAGTATGTTGTTATCGAGATAAGTTATGCCCATAGCAGTTTCCTTTGCTATATAATTTTATTCAATGTCTTCAAGTGAGGACCCGGTCAATGAGAACCGAGAATGTATTCTCCCTCTTCGGACCTTTGTCAGGTTTCGAAAATTATGAGATGAGTCAATATCTTATAGGCTGTCATTTTTATGGATGTTCATGGCCTCTGTTCAACCTCTGGTATGTTATGTGTTTAATGTCTCTTATGCCTTAGTAAGGGTGAGTTCATGCTAGCTCGAAGCATGATTAGTTGGGCAAGAGATTAGGATATGTGTTTATTTGATGCTCTAGCATGTTTATGTGTTTCGGTTAAAAGCTAGAAATACCTCTCGAAACTTGTGATATGATGAGATAAGTATATTTGGTTGAGAGTCTCATTTATATCATGATACATTTGGTCGGGTTCATTTGATATATATGTGATCTTCGATGATTGAGGTTGAATTTATGTATTAATGTGAATTGTTATATATTATCAAACCAAAAGATGTAATAATTTAAGTGAAAGGCATAAGACTTATTTTTCTATCTTGTTTAATAAGACCGAGTTGGACCTCGGACAATGTGTTTGATGATATATCGAATGTTTAAGTCTTAAGGTATTGATATCGAGGCTATGTTGTTGTGTGATCATTTTGAGTTGATGAAGGCATGAAAATTCAATTTTTCGAGCTTCAGTTAGGCTCTATTTTTCTCAAACAAGATGACGTTTCTTGGACAAGTGTTCTTCATAAGATTTGTAGTTCTCTGAATGAAGTTTCTGTGAGTTTTCGAATTTTGTGATTTGGGGTTAAAATGAATTTGTTATGATTTTTCAAAGTTAGACAAGCATGCAGTTTTTATAAACTCGGACAGAAACTTTGACCTTAATTCATGGCTGTTTTGATGATTTTAACGTGCCTGCATGAAAATGTACTCTTAATGAAACATGTAGTAAATCTTATAAGCTTTCATTGGGAGTTTAATTCATGCAAGTTGGAGTTTTGGTCGATTTTATATGATTTTTCTAAGTTAGATTTATGCCCAGGATTTTGAAACAGTGGCTGTGTGTATGCATGAAATGCATGCTCTGAATTGATGCCTTAAACGTGATGATATGTAAACATTCTTTTCATGAAATTTGTAGCTTTTCTTATGTAGGTTCTGTAGGTTTTGGGTTTATATGATTTGTAGTTCTAGTTGATTTTATATAATTTTTCTAAGTGAGATGTACACCCAGTTTTTATGAAACCAGGATTTTGTTGAAGTGTTGAATATGTACTCTGTTTAGGTGACCTAAACGTGTTCTTATGAAACAGTCTTCTTCATGAAAT